CATTCAGTGTCATTACTTAAGAGGAGACAACTAGAAAAAATTATCCCTTCAAAAAATAAATTTTCTAGAGTAGCATCACAATTTCTCTAAATATATTATTGCATTATCTTTCCCTATTATATCTTGAATTTCAGATTCAGACAAAGCTCCTGTTTTCGAAAACAAATCTACCCATGATTCTAAATTTTACCGAATCATTACATTTTTAAATGAGAAGGAATTTTATTTATTAGCTTAAATGATAAATTAAACTTTAACGATCTAATTTTTAAAAGAAACACAATTAATTATCGACATATTTTAGAATATCAATTTATTTTTTTGTATTGAAGGATTTATTGTAATTATGGATGATGACATCCTGTTCAGAATATTCTAAAATTTTGCATTCTAAATGTAAAGATTTAATTTACTGTTAATAGCATTAACGTTTAAGCATCCTTCACTTTCAACACTTTCCTGAAAACTATTTCTAGTTGAAATAACAGATACATTTTGGATCATAATAATTCCATCGCTTGAAGTGAGGATATCAAAAACTGAAATTTTTGCAGCCATTATTTCTTCAAAGGTTGAGTTAATACATAAAAAATTAGATGTTTAAATATATGCTGCACCTCCAATTGTTTTTATTAAAAAAATCTACGTAATTAGAGATTAGATTTAGTCTTAATTCACCTAGATCAAATTATAATAATAATTCCAAATACTAAAGGGCAAAATATTATGATTTCTTAAATATACATTGAACATTTTCAATGATTTCGCAACAATATGAATAAATGAATTCGACGAGTTCGTCATTGCATTGTATTTGCATGATAAATTTTCTATTTGAATTGTACTTGCTAAAGTAGAGATGTAAAATAATGCTGCTGAATCCCTTAATGAATTTTCATTATAGTCATGCATTATATTATTTTAAAAAACCACATTTTTCATTTGAATATCTAGGTTTCTGTCAGAAATAATTGTAATCATTGAAAAATAAAGATTTTAATTCAGTGATTGTAGGAGATTTCCATAAAATTCGATATTTATTATTGTTATTTAACTTATTTATTCTTAGAGATATTAACTACTAGACATAATTTTAATTATTGATTCATCCATACTTTATATATACTTTACTTTTAAATTAGAGATAGAAATTTTATTAAAATTTACTATTAATACTAATTGGTTTTAAAAATTTACGTTTTATAAACAGCTTTTTGTTACAGATATCTTTTCTTCTATTTCAGAGTTCTCAACGATAAAGTTTTGTAGTTCTACATCTTAGGTATCAGATAAATAGAGGATAGTAATTTTTTTAGTTTAATGGATTTAAAAGTTATCCAAAATAATTGACTTTCCATTGATGTTAAACAAATAGCTTGCTTGATTTAGAGTAATTAAACCTTCATTATATTCAATTACTACATTCTCAAAACTAATAATGAGATCATTTGATTGAAATTCTGAAAAAAATTGAAATAGATTTGAATTTTGTAATTTATTATCTCTTATTATTATGTACATTAAATTGCAAGATACTAATTTTTGAGTTATCAATTAAATTGTTGTCATAAATTAAGATTGAATAAATATATTGTTCTTAATTTCAATCTAAGATGAGTTTAAACCAGAACTAAATCCAAATATAATAGAATCCGATAATTAGTTAAAATTAAAGACTAAATTATTTGCAATAACATCAACTTGTTAGGAACAATATAATAATTAGGACTGATTCAAACTAGATCTCTAAATTAATATGCTCAGTAGATATATCTGAATATTTAAAGGATTATTAGCTCTAAAATTAAAAATAGATGAATTTTGTAGTTTACATTAATCCATGGTAAGATTTATGAATTTTATTGGAAGTTATGTGTAGGAAAATTCAAACAAAATTGAGTCAGTAAAAGTACAATTTAATAATTGTAATTAATTGATTTTAACGGCCCCAATTAAGTTAAATGCGTTAAAGTTAAAGAGTGATGAGTTAACAAATTGAGTATTCATTATAGTTAAATTTTTTAAGCTTACGTGACCAAAGTTTTTTGTCCTAAATAAGGATTGAACATTTTATATTAAGCTATCCTTTATAGTAACATTTATTAATGTAATGTTTACTTCATTTTTGCTATTACTGATATTGAAATCTTTCATATTATATTCATCTAACATAATCCCAAAACCAATCATTGTAAAGGAATCATATTCTTCGATATTAATCTAATGCAGAATAAGCATGTCAAAAGAAGATGTTGTTAGTAATTTAAAATGTATAAACTATAAAGTAAACACGAAAAATTTTAAGCTAGCTGTTGTATCAATTGATGGTATTAGAAAACAAAAATCACTTTCTA